TTTAGTTTTATTTTAGGATTCCCTATTTTTAATGTTCATACAGAGATTTCTTTAACTGAAATACCGAATAGTTTCTCTGGTGTGAAAAACTATAATGGTACACAGGATCCTAATGAGATAATTAATAATGTGAAATAGGAAGTAAAGGGCTAAAGGTGTAGGGAAAGGTAATAAGGGAGAGGAAAAGAATATGAGAAACTGAAAAAATGGAAATAAAGTGTTTGTAAATGGGGAGGGGAGGAGGGGGTGAAGGGAGGGCAGGGACAAGGGGAAAATGAGAATGAAGACCTATCATGTAAAGGTACAGGATCCCAATAATGAATGTAACTGTATTGTATACCTAGATTGTACCAATGCACTCAATAGAAAGAAAAAAAAAAAAAAGAATCATCTTCCATCAGGTCCCTGGCACAGTCCATGCAGGTGAGTTGTCAGTTTCCTTGGAGGGTTTGGAGTCCGCAAAGGGTCTGATAGTGAAGCAGGACTTAAAGCAGAAACGGAGCAGGGCAAGCAGCCATGCCTACCTGTGAAATAGGTCTTGTGAACTCAGTACCCTGCCAGGGAGGAGGGTCGGAACACAGGACCTTCTACTGTTTCTTTGAAAGCCGGGTTGCAAATTCCTTTTCAATCATAGACTTTTTGGTAGGTGGAGGATAAATCCAAATTATGCATCTCGAAAAATTTCCCACTATGACCTTTGTTCACATTTATTTCTGTTTAATTTTTGTGACATCTCCAGGTCCACAAGTATTGCTTCAAGTTCAGTAAGTGACCTTCAGAAGGAGAAAGGTCATGTCATTCTGGCCAGCACACTAGGAGGTATCTTATCGAGTGTACCTTGTTAATCATTAATCTTAGGTGCAGTCATTGGTGCTGTGTAGAATTTGTTTTACAAACCTATGAAGCCACACCCTCATCTGAGGACAGGTTATATATTTATGCCTACTCCACCCTCTGCACTCTGATTCATCTGGGAGTTAAGCAGCCGGGAGTTTCTGAGCTGTGATCCCCATGGCTCTTGCACATTCGCCTACCTCTCTCCCTCTGTGCCTGGGCCTGCTGCTGGCAGCTGGCTTTGCCCAGGCAGGCAGGCTGCTGGTGGTGCCCATGGATGGAAGCCACTGGTTCACCATGCGCTCGGTGGTGGAGAAACTCGTCCAGAGAGGGCATGAGGTGGTCGTGGTCATGCCGGAGGTGAGCTGGCAGCTGGGACAGTCACTGGATTACACAGTGAAGACGTACTCAACTTCCTACACTCTGGAGGATTGGGATGGGGAATTTAAGCGGTTTGCTGAGGACCACTGGAAAACTTCAAAACAAAGTATATTTCATATATTACTGGGTTCATCCAGTAGATTTTTTGAACTATGTTATTCACATTGTAGGAGTTTGTTTAATGACAAGAAATTAGTGCAGTACCTAAAGGAGAGTTCTTTTGATGCTGTCCTTTTGGATCCTTTTGATGCGTGTGGCTTTATTGTTGCCAAATATTTTTCACTCCCATCTGTCGTCTTTGCCAGAGGAATGTTTTGCCATTATCTTGAAGAAGGTGCGCAGAGCCCAGCTCCTCTGTCTTATGTTCCCAGATTTCTCTTGAGGTTCTCAGATGCCATGAATTTCAGGCAGAGAGTTCAGAACCATATCTCCTACTTGGAGGAGCATTTGTTTTGCCCGTATTTTTTTAAAGCTGTGCTAGAAACTGCCTCTGAAGTTCTCCAAACACCCGTCACCACGTATGACCTCTTCAGCCAACCAGCAATTTGGTTGTTACGCACAGACTTCGTTTTTGACTATCCCAAACCTGTGATGCCCAACATGGTCTTCGTTGGTGGGATCAACTGCCATGAGAGAAAGCCCCTGTCCATGGTACGTACTCTCTCTTGGCAGGTGAAAGGTAACCTGGGTTTGCACATTAAGTAGAAAGAATCTTTCCTGAACTGTGCTTTGTCCTTTACAGTCATTTCCTTTGGAATTTCTTTTTGGTTTAAGAATTGTTTTGTGCCAATTCCTTGACTGTGTGTTCTGACAAACTTTCCAAAGCTGCTGTTGTTGATAGGTTTATGTATGATGATGATATTATTGCATATCATTCCCAGCCTGCAGTTATAAGAATGTTTGGAAAAACGCTAAAATAAAAAAAATTGAGCCCTCCTTTTTACTATGCTTGTTATGTTGGAAAGCATGATTATGAATTTTCTAACCTTTTTTTCCCAAATTCCTGAAATTATTTTACCTGAATATACATATGGACATACACAAACATGCTTATCTAATGCAAAATTTCATATTTACTCCACTAAGCAAAAAGTAATAAGAAAATCTATTTTTTGTTCTGTAGTATCTTATGAAAAAGGAAGCAAAATTTCATTGAACCAAAGAATAAGGAAGTGACAGTAGGTAATAAGCTCTGTTCGGCTATCTTCACAGTAGTTTCTCTGAGTACAAGTTATAATGTGAGATAACCGAAAAGATTCTTACAAAAAAAATCGAAAGGTAATACATGAAGCTTTCTTTTGAATGAGCTAAGATAAGCTAGTAGAAAAAACCAAACACATTTACCATATATTGAAATACTTTTAGGACACTAGAGTGTGAACTTGCAGAAGTGTTTGGAACAGAATGTTCAGTGAAGTAAACTAGACGCATCTGCTCAAATATCACATAGCTTCCCTTATATTAGTGAGACATAAATACACATGCTGTGTTTGAGACACTTATCCTTCTCACATGTTGTCTTTGCCAATAAACTGTGGATGTCATTAAAGACCAATGAGTACAGACTGGACATGTCCTTTAATAATTGCATCGAAATCTTCACATTGAGAGCACTTACTTTTGAGCGAGTCAGTAATGTTTGATAATTCAGCATTTTTACTTTTGTTTTATATGAAAAAAGACAGTGTGAACCATTCTTAGCTATCTTCTTAACCTTCATATATTTCTATATTCCTGGGGCTATTCGAGTTGGCTGGTGTCCTGCTAGAATTTCTGGGTCCGATGGTGTCTCTTGTTACCTCTTCATAAACTTTAGAGTGAGCTTTCAAAAGCTGAAAGAATGCACGGTTGGACCAGTAGTCTGAGAAGGAGATAGCTTTTCTATTCCCTGTCCAGACCTAGATAGGGTCAAACTGTTCAAGTTGTATGTGCTCTCTAGGGGAAGAAGTAAACATACAGATAGTGAGGCATATAGAACCCTAGTAGGCACAACCAAGGGGAACCTGTCCACACCACATTCGGCATGGCTTTTTTTGTGTGTGCAGCAAATATGTAAGTAGGGCTGTTCCTTATCTTTCCTATGTAGACGCTTAGTGTGGGAGCATCAAGTGGGTTCAATTTTTGCTTAGTAATTTCTGGATGCCTTCCAAACCTAAGATACAGGACCATGTTTTCCGTATTATGTTTTATAGCTTACATCTGCTTCGTGAGGTTACCATTATTTCTCAATAACTTTATAGTAAACTGTGTGGGGCTACACTTTACTTCATTTCCTCATAGGTAGTGCATGTCCCATCACCTGGTGATATTCTTTTCCACATGTCTTGCATTGAAATGCATGTTTCAGCTTGCTGCAGAAATGCCATCTGCAATCCCCATTCTGGGAAGCTGAGGCAGGAGGATGTGAAGTTCCTGGCCAGCTAAAATCACTTAGTGTCTTAGTGAGACCCTGTCTCAAAATGAAAATTAAGAAGTTGTGAGGATTTAAGTCATTGCAAATGTCCTGGGTGCAAGTCCCCTCACCAGAAACTGCAAATCGACAACAAAACAGTGCATTTTTATCATGTTTGTGGCTCTTCTACTGTCTTCCTTCTGACCTCGCAGAGTTGTTCTCCCAACCTTATTTATTATTTATTTATTGGTACTGGGGATCAAACTCGGGACCTGGGGCTTGGGAGGCAGGCATTGGAACCACTGGGCTAAATCCCCGGTGCCCTCCCGAGTTCATTTTTCATGCTGCCGTACTAGGTTTTGATTGAGTAGCTTTGGAGTAAGTTTTAATATCTCAGAAGGAGAACCCCATACTCACTGTACACTTATGTGAACTTTCATTTGGAGTCTCACAATGTTCTGCCCTTCAAAATTGGTTGTTGAGTTCCAGAGAGAGATGAAACCGTAGGGCCTTATTAATTTGCCTTGGAGTGTTTTTATTCATGGAGAGAGACTGTCATGCTTTGCTTATGTTTTCTCTTCAGGACAATGTACTCCTTTTTACTTAGATCTGATTTTAATTCCCATGAGTACAAATTTATACTTTTTTATTTAAACCTTTTGTCTTTCATCTTAAAATATTTCTAGGCATGCTATTCCTTTTCTATTTCTTTTCAGCTGGTTATATATAGGGAAGTGGTGTCTTTTTCATTTGAGTGTTCAACCTGCTTATATTCCTAAGTTTTCTTTTTTGTTTTTATGATGTCTTAGATATGCAGCATCATCTGGGAGAATTCCATTGCCCAGTGCACTTACTACTTTGTTTCTTTGGGTGTATGCCTCCCAAATCCTGTGCAGTTACACAGTTGGACTTGGCCATTTGATATGGATTCATTTGCTTTCAACGGAGGAAGTTTTGGAAAATGCAAGAGCAATAATCCTGTTGGCTAAGACACAGTGGTTCAACTCTGGTGAATCATTTCCTGTGCTATCTCAGTTTATTATTTTACTGGGGCTGGACTCTGCACCTTTCACTGCTACTTGGGCTTGTATGCATTGAAGAAGACTGTGTGACTGAGTCATATTCTCTAACGTAGTGGCATAGATTTGGTGAGAGGTCTTTCCAGCCAGCTGTTGGGAAAGTGAAATAATGGTGTTTTGCAAAACCCGGGAGGCTGTAGTTTTAGGGGTGTCAAAGCTAGGGTTGGCTTTCTGCTCTAGGAAGACCAAAAAGGAGCTACAATTTTCCGCATTGGGAGGTGCTCATTTACTGAATGGCTCCGAAGCCCTTTAGCCTCCTTCAGCATTGCAATGATCACCATGGCGGCCGCATCTTGCCCTGCTCTGCACCCACGATTGGGGCCCTACAGCTTGTTGAACCAAGAGTGAGTTCCAAGTGACTCATTGCCACACCCAGAGGGGTTTAGGCATGCACATACTACAGATCAGTTTGTATCACGCATCTTCTAGAGAAATCCATAGATATGAAGCATATTGAAGCATTTAGACTTTCTGTGTGAGCATTTGTATACACATAGTAATACTTGGAAAAGCAAGGCCCATGAGAAGATTACATACCTGCGCATCTATATATGAATAAAAATACAGGTAAATTCTCCAAGATGAATTCAGAGCTCACGAGGGCCCTGTGTTTTATCACCGTGACACAGAACGTCAGGTTTCATGGAAAGGGCTCCGGAGCTCGTGCAGTTCTCATCCTTGTTTTCCTGAGCAGACAGCATCTTGGAGAGGTCTGCAGTGTTCAAATTGCTGTGAAAGAGGTGTCATTGTGCGCCGGTCAGGGAATTGGGATGATGGAGAGTGTGTAGCTGTGCTCGTGTGTGTCCAGGACAGGTGCTTGTTTGTGTAGTCTCAGGTCCTGTCCAGGGGATTTCATTTTATTTGCCCTCACCTTTCCATGAGTACATGTTTGTTGTGCATGTGGAGTATGTTCACAGTGGGGACAGGAAAGGTGCACAGCACATCTTAATTCCTGTGTACCCCCTCCCACTCCGCACTCTCCCGCCTCCCTTCCCCCATCCTTGGCTCCCTACACCGGTATGGTAGTGATGGTCTGCTGTAAGGCAACATCTTTACGTCTATCCAGAGGAAGAACATTCAGGAATGAGGTGAACCGTGCTAGTGAGGAGGGCAGAAGATGATCCAGGAGAGCAGGAAGACAGGGGTAAGGTGAAACATCGTGATGAGTCCCGGAGTTTTGCAGTGATTGGCGAGTTCCAGTAGGGTTGGTGATGGTTCCCACTGGCAGGAGAGGGTTGGGGCCTGTGACTCAGGGCAGTCTTAGGTCTGGATCACTCAGGCCGGGAGCAGTGAGACAGCAGCAAAGAGTTGCACTTCTTCCATTTCTCTCCCATTCCAGCTCCATTCTAGAAATCCAGACTGACATTCAGGTATTGGTGTGTAAGCACCAGGCCTCCCTCCACGATCGCTTCTTTCTGCTTTTTAGATGTATTTTGCATGCAGCACTTGAGACTGAATCCAGGGCCATCATGGTGAGCAACATCCCTCACCCACTTTTGTGTTACTGTTTTTCTAGGATAGTTTCTTACTAGGTCACCAAGGTTTCAGGCTGGCTTGAACTTGCTGAGATTCTGCATTGTCCTTCCAGAGAGCCAGGAGTCCAGGTGTTAGCTGGTAGGGCGGGCTGTTTCTTATCACTGTTCATGCAGTTGCAAACATCGGCAGAGGAGAGGCTGGTGTGCAGTGAACACTCAGCTATTCATTCTTAGGTGCAACAATTCCATTTGTTTCTTTCCTTTTGGGGCTCCTTTTATTTTTTTGTCTTGCCTGTTTTTTTTTTTTTTTTTGTAAAGAATTATCAGTAACGTGTTGATCTGATGTGGTGAGACTGATGATTCTGGTGTTGTTGGTCATAGAGAAAATATTTCCATTTTCCACTGTTCAATGTAGTGTTAGGTATGGGATTCTTATTCGACCTTCATTTGGTTAGAGTACATTTCTTCCATAATTAATTTAGTGAGAAATGTTTTTAATCATTGAAAATGCTCAATTAAATTACGCAGATTTTCTGTATGTAAAAAATAATTTGGGCACATTTCAGCATCCTTGTATCTCAGAGAAAAATTCCATTTGACCATATGGATGGTCCTTTGAATGTCCCGTTCAAGTTTTCTCTGCCAGTATTTCACTGAACACATTGTTTGTTCTCATCAAGGGTGTGGTTGTATAATTTTCTTTCTTTTCTTCTAATGCATCTTTGTGTTTGATGTCAGCGTCATGCCGGCTTCATCAAA